AAAATACCTCATGTAACCTATCAATTTTAATGTTACAATCTGCTGGATCGCTACATCCTATTTTAGTGCATGTATCATTCTTGTATTTTGGTGTATGCATCATCACTGTTAGAAATATGAAGTGTGAGACTGTTTATAATATTAATTGTATTAATGAGACCCATCAATGTTGCTCAGGAAGCCTTAATGATTGGGTGATCAACTTAATGACTTGTAAACGGACTTGTTTGCCCTTTAATTCAAAGCAGTGGTTGGTCCTTGGAAGACATGTAACTATACCACCTTATACTGGGATACCAATTTGACCAAGTAATTTTCCATAGACCAAAAGATTTCCGCCCAGAAAAAAAGAGTTTACTTTAACAATGGGAAGCTATGAGTCCTTTTGTCTTTGGCTGGCATGGCATAGCATACCCAAAAGAAGGGCTGGAGACCCACATGAGAATAGAGGATCATCTTTGACTTGAAGGTTTGGAAATAAGAACAGGTTTTAGGGTAAGTTTACAATAAGCTTCAATGTATTAGAACTAACTATGCATTTTCTTTACATTTTAATTCTGTAACTTACTTTGATCTGTCTGTTTTCACTTGCAACCACTTAAATCCTGCTGTTTCTACTTAATAACACTTTTTGTTTACTAGTGTTTACTTAATAAACACACTTTTGTTTACTAATTGTTACTTGGGGGAACAATCAGTGTGAATACCCTCCTTTCATTGATAAAGGGGACTTTCCTGAATGAGCTTTCATTATGTAAAACTCTTACAGAGACTTATTATTTGGTGCTTTGATTGCTTTTGAGGGTTGGTTCCCTGAGTGCTGTGCCCTGGAACTGCATTCTCCCAGAGCTGAAGTGGTTCACTGTTGCATTGCTCTTCGGGGGGAGAGGAGCCAGCTCTGTGCCTTGTCTAGGGCAGACCAGAGTATCTGGCCCAGCAAGACATGGTGGTGGGGAGCCCCAGAAAACAATGTGTCAGTGGCATAAACAGCACACTAGGGAACGGCCTCAAAGGGTCTTCTGTGAACATGCCCCATCAAATGAACCTCCACAAATATCCCAAAAACCTAGTCAATATACACAAAAGAGCAATCTTCTACCAGCAGGAGTCTGGAATGGATCACAGAATCATAGAACACTAGAACTGGAAGGGACCTTGAGAGATCATCAAATCCAGTGCCCTGCCCTCAAGGCAGGACCAAGCACTGTCTAGACCATCTCCGATAGGTGTCTATCTAATCTCCTCTTAAATATCTCCAGTGATGGAGATTCCACAACTTCCCTAGGCAATTTATTCCAGTGTTTAACCACCCTGACAGCTAGGAAGTTTTTCCTAATGTTCAATCTAAACCTCCCTTGCTGCAATTTAAGCCCATTGCTTCTTGTCCTGTCATCGGAGGCCAAGGAGAACAATGTTTGTCCTCCTCCTTGTACCACTCTTTTAGATACTTGACAACTACTATCGTGTCCCCTCTCTGTCTTTTCTCTTTTCTAAACTAAACAAGCCCAATTCCTTTAGTCTTCCCTCATCGTTCATGTTCTCTAGACCTTTAATCATTCTTGTTGCTCTTCTCTGGACCTTCTCCAATTTCTCCATATCTTTCTTGAAATGTGGTATCCAGAACTGGACACTACTCCAATTGAGGCCTGATCAATGCAGAGTAGAGCGGAAGAATTACTTCTCGTGTCTTGCTTACAACACTCCTGTTACTGTATCCCAGAATCATGTTTGCTTTTTTTACAACAGTGTCACACCGTTGACTCATATTTAGTTTGTCATCCACTGTGACCCCTAGATCCCTTTCTGCAGTACTTCTTCCTAGACAGTCACTTCCCATTCTATATGTGTCAAACTGATTGATTGTTCTTTCCTAAGTGGAGTACTTTGCATTTGTCCTTATTAAACTTCATCCTATTTACCACAGACCATTTCTCCAGTTTGTGCAGATCATTTAGAATTATGACCCTATCCCTCCAAAGCACTTGCAACCCCTCCCAGCCTGATCTCATCTTTTGATCCGTCTTTCTGTGACCAGGCTAAGTTAGCTCCTGCTGATGAAAGGAATCCAGAGAGGAGATTCAATGTGGAGAAGGGTTGCCAGAAGAAGTGAGTTCTTCCAAAAAAGGGCTGCTTTAATCTCCACCCAGACGTTATACAAGGCCAGCAGTTGAGACTGCAGTGGAGATGTGCTGAATAAATTTCTTTGGGCACATTCTTTCCTTGGCCAGGATCAGTCACTTTGTGGGCTCAGCTATCTGCCTGCCTGGCCCTCAGCAGAGAGGAGACTATGTGTCCATCATGTCTTCTACAACCCCTCACAAGGCTGACTTTCTGCTACATGTACAGATCTTACATAAATCTGGCCCTCAGTTTCTCGACTAGCCATGGCCAGCATTAATACACAGTTCCTGGGGCAAGGTGCCCCTCATTGCCACTTACAGTAGCTCAGAGAAAGACATAGGTTGTGCTAATTTGGTCATGAGGGGGTTTACAGAAACCTCCTTACTAGATAATGCAGATGCTAAATGGGACATTGTATGAGAAAGAGAAGGCACAAGGAGGGTGGAAATGGTGAGGACAATAGGACACACATCAATTCTAGTTTTAGCCAGGCAAGATCAAACCCAAAAGGGTCACAGATGGAAAAGATTTATTAGACCCACTAGTCCAGAGGTCTGCAATGTCTCTAGAGCCAAATATGGCTCAGTATGGAAGCAAATATGGGGCTATTTCTGTGCCTAGTTGCTCAAATTTTACTATCTCGACATTACCGGTCATTTGAATGAGATGAACCTGAAGCTACAAGGGCAAGGAATTACAGTCCTGACTGCAGCAGGCAGTGTATGGATTTGAGTCAAAATTGACTGTCTTCATCAAAGATATCGAGACAGGCAGACTGGCACATTTTGAAAGATTATGAATGTTTCATGATTCGTATCAGAGTCCAAATTACAGCCTTGATTTGCAGCAGCTTGCCAGGTTTGTTTCTGAGCTCCTAATGGGTATTTAAGTCTTGTTTTGTTGTGCTCTATTTAAGTTTATGATTTGGCCATATAAAGCGTCCGTTGAAGAACTGGATTTGACAGTCGTTTCAGGCATCTCAGTCAGCGATTTGGAAATGGAAATAACAGATTTCAATGAGTTGGATATCTGGGTGGAAAAATTCATCATGCTGAATTCTGATTTAGAATGCCTTGCTCGACAATGTGGCAAAACTGCACAAATGGGCTGACAGGAAGAAACTGGAGAACAATGATAATCTGATTTTTGCAAGCACAGAAGGAATTTCCAGTCACATACAACACCCTGTAGAATGTCATCTTGGCCTTACTTTCAATGTTTGGCTCCACCAATATGTGTGAGCAGGCTTTCTCTCATTTGAATCATATCAAAGGTAATTCGCACTCAAGATTGACAGAAGACAGCCTGAATGCGTGCAGGAAGCTGAATTTGACCAGCTATGATGTAAACTTCAGAGAAATGGGGGTGGAGGGGGGGGGGAGGCAACAGCAGAAGTCCCACTAAATAAAGTCCTTGAGTACAATGTTTCATTTATGCTATTATTAAGCATGTTGATTTATCAGTAACATTAAGTTGTATATTTTCAGTCATGCAAATGAGCATTCTTATACTGGCTCTTTGTTGGCCACTTGTTCTGAATTTTGATGTTGTTTGGCTCTTTGGTTTGAAAAGGTTGCCGACTGCTTCTCTAGTCCATCCCTCAGCCAGTACCAGACTTGGATTTTTTCTCACTGCTAAAAATGATATGCTAAACTTCCATAGTTCAATAAAGGGAGTGATTGTAAGGAAACAGCTGTGTGTTGCTTATTACCAGCAGCTGACAAGGCACTGAGCTAATTTCTAATAAACATGAGATCATTGCCCTGACTTTTCATGAGTTCCTGATTAATTCGTGAATGGCTTTTCAATTTCTGAAAAGTGTTTGGGGGGGGGAAGCGCCCTCAGAACCAAAGAGAAGACAGCATTGTGTGATTCGGGTGAATACCACACAGCAGCTGAATAGCTTAAACAAAGTGAATGGTGCAGTCCACAAATGATGTGACCCATTACACTCCTCTACCTCGGCAGTTTACAAAAAGCCTCCAGGGAGATTTGAAAGGCTTTAAAAATAATTTTTGGTTTTTACTTTATTGTTCCTATTGTACTGCTGAGGGTTGGATGAACAGGACTGCGGGTGTGATCTTTCTCACTCTTACTCACGAGCAATCCTCTGATGCAACAATCCACCACTGAGCAAGAGGCAGCCCACAGGGAACACAAAACGAAGAATTAAGTCAGTCACTCCTCCTAATTATAATAAAGTATAATACAGATGCTAAGGCAGGATTCACACTAGAGAGCTGGTCCCTTCCATTCTCCTACTCACTGTGCTGCAGAGAAACTCAAGCATGTACTTACTTTCCTGGGGAAATTACTGTGCTAGCAGTCTAGCCCTGGACCTTAGAAGGAGGCAGCAGTGTTCTCACATGTGGGGATTCCCTTAGGACTCAGAGTGCTGCTGACTTGCGTCCTCACAAGCTTCTGATGATGGCAGCTGTAGTATTGCAGACTCCCACTGAGGAAGGAATGAGGCCACTGTTTTCATTCTGATTCTCTCCAATGGGTTTTAATGGGACTAAAGCAAAACATCTAGTTTCTCTCCGAAAATCTCTTATAATTCCTTTCCAATGTTTGTATCTGTGACTTATTTCTCTGCACCTTCTACTAGTTTTTGAATGCTTGGTAAGCCTCTTATTATTCATAATAACAGCAGAGAACTATATTAAATGGTGCTTCATCAGACAAGTCTACAGTTAAAAACATGCAGAAAAAGTTCCTAGATGCCATCTTCATAATTTATTACAAATTCATTTTTAAATAAATTATTTTATATAACACAATTATTTGAAATACTTTATTTAAACAAATGTTCCAAGAAAGGATGTGCATTTAACATATGTTCACTTTAACTGCTTCTCTGAAAAAATGTCAGACAATAATTTAATATTCAAAGGATCTTTATTCCTCTCTCCTCAAGTGGGTAGATGAGAATGATGTGCATATATTGAGAGGAGAACTGACTTCTGAAAAAAACAACTCATTCTAGATAGTCAGTTCCAAAGCTGGACCAGTCCCAGTGGAATCACCTGCAAAAAGTTCTGCAAACCACTAAGGCCCAAAGATTTGCAGCACCATTATTATTATTTTTAGTCCTTAATGAACTAACACTTATGAAAATATCTGAGCCGCACACTGCCATCATTCAATCGGACGTGCTTGTCCTGCACAAACTACAATGTATTGCTTTAAGAAATAGATTAGACATAACACCACACAGAGAATGAACTCCCAATCAACTCTGAGGTGGAGAGGTCTGTCTCAGTTCTTCAAATCCGAGTCCACCAGTCGTTGAGTTGTTCCTGCTAAAAGAGTTAGGATATATTACAAAATAGCTACTAGAATTTTTGTGTAAAAATAATTTCTGAAGTCTGTTTTCCAGGCAAGTAGTTTTTTTAGGTTATTGTAAACTTAATTTCAGGGAAATGAGATTTTGAAAAAATATTTTAAAGATATAGGACACACAATTAAGTCCTCTTAATTAACAATGTTTCCTAAACCTAAGATAAAGAGAGCCTAATCCTGCACTCCTAATGTAGGCAAAACTCCTGCCTACTCTAATGTGAGTTTTGCCAGGATTTGAATCAAGATTATTCTCCTTTTAGGCAGATCTTAGCTTGCTTCAGTCACTCTGTGGCAGGACCCCCATTCTTGGTTTCTGCAGTACGCCACATGTGGAGAGGGGCAGATGGAACAGCTTTCCTATGTGCATTATTCCCTTCAAAACTGCACAGAGTCAATGGAAAATGTAATAGAGCTGAAGGCTTTATTACTTTTTCTATAGCTCGACTTTGTGCCACAGACCTCAAAACCCCTGAGAGGGGGAGTGACCTGGGAGGGAAACCTTGTTCATGAGCCTCCATTACAGCTGTACTTCCAAGGAGTATGGGAAGGTATCCGGGTCACTGGACATAGCATGGGAGCTTCTTATGGATCAAATGTCAGGAGTTCTGGGACTAAACCCTCTGCGCACACTCAGACACCAAACTCCACTGTGCCCATCCTATCTCCCCCCAAATATGTTCTGGGAAAAATTTGAGGAAACGTCCATGACCCAGACTCTCTGGCTTTCATGAATCTTCCATGGAAATAATTATTCTGGCCTATAGTAATTACCACCAAACCCGTCACGAGGATCTGCTGTTGTACTTCATTGCATAGTAGTTACTTTTTACATGAAATTTACCACCTAAGTCCTTGCTATATAACTAGTATGTATGTAAAGATATCTTATGGAACATATGGTGCTGTTAATCTGGACGTTCAGGAGGGATACTACAACATTTCAAGTGCCTTAGAGCTCCCCCCACCCTTAAATTTCAAGTCACTACATATAATTCTTACAGCCAAAATACGCCTTTAGTGTAACTTTGCAGTCTTCCAGCAGAAGCTATTACTTGCACTGTCAGTGCTCTGTGAAACTTCTCACTGAGAGAAGCACCTCTAGCCACATGGCAGCAGCCTCAGGGAGAGATGCCTGTAAAAATGAGATGTTTAAATAAGCTACAGGAGAATCTGGCTAGGGTGGAGACTATAGTACTTAATTTAGCCATACACCAGGTGCAGCATAAGCAGTGGCAGTGCAAGCCTCACCACGAAGTTTCCACGTGTGTCTCAATTTTGACCTAGAGAGAACACTTGTAAGTGGTGAGCAAGCGGCTCTGGGTCCATGTCTGTTCACCGTTTCACCTCTCACTCCAGGCAATAAGGTGGCCAATTATTGCCATATGTGAACATTAAGTTTTAAATTGTAGTTGGCATTTCAGAGAGAGTTATAAGCAGCATCTGGTCCAAGAGTGTCAACAATTGTCGCAGCAGCTGTAGAGAACAGGATCTACATAATCCTTCTTAAAGTCACTGCACACCTTGCAGAATGTTAGGCTGAGGAGCAACTGAACGACTAGAACTCATGTTCCTCAATACTCACATAGGCTGAATCCGTGCAAGTAGGGAATTTCCACCTTTCCTGCCATCCTTTATGTGCACCCTCCTCTTGCCAGCACTGGAGGCTGCTCACATGGATGCAAAGGAGAAAGAACTAGAGGGGCTGCTATCTGCAATTCTACCATGTCAGGCGGTGATCCTGTCAGATGTCTGAAGCTAAGAGCGACCTCAATATTTGGAGGCCTCATTGCAGGAGGTCGGTGACAAGTGGCACCTCTCTTTTTGAGGCTCTACTGAACATAGATCCTTGTATGGTGTTGGGGACACAGTGCTACAGGAGAGGACACGTTTCAGGTGAGACATGACAGATAAATCCTAAGTGTAGGGTGGTCATCAATGATATTTTGGCTCATTTTGCAATAATTCCGGTGTCCCAATCCAATTTGAACAACAATAAAACTCTGATTATCTGAAAATCTAGTCACCATACACTGAAAACCTCAGTAATTTTTCCCAACTTAATAGCTGACCAGTTTTTTACATCTGCTACTAATGCAGTGTAATCCATCTAATGAGAGACTGGACTAAATTCTGTTCTCTCTTATGTAGCAAGAACAGAGCCTAGAAGAGTAAGGCACTCAAATCCCACTAAAATTAAATGGAAGTTGGGCACCTTCACTTGCCTAGATCCCTTTGAAAACCTAACAAGAACTGTTAAACACAGTTCCAACTGCAGAATCTTTGCTGCCAGTGCTGAGGCATTAACTGGACAGAACTTCGCATGATGAGAGAGAGAGAGAGAGAGAAAGAAAAGGTTTTTTTAATGTAAACTAATTAAAGTGGATATGGTATTCTAGAGAAGCAATAAACAAAGAACTACTCTATGGTGTCACTTTTTTGAGTCTATTGGCTCTTAATGTGACTAGGTACTTTAAGAACACAAAAATATAGCTTGCTTTGGCAATTACATGTAAATTACAATTGTACAGTCAGGAAATAGGCCTGCTTAACAAACTTTTACAACAGATTCTCCTGAAAGAATACTATAAATGTATACACATCCTGAATCCGAAATAATTCCAGTAAATCTAAAGGTGAAGAGAAGCATTTAAGAAGCTTACCTTTCTGATGACAACTACTCAGCAATATCTTTGCTCCAGTGAACCATCCTGAGGGGAACTCCTCAAAGAGATGGACCTTCTTTCAAGGACATCATCAATTTCAGAATCAGTGGCTCCCTGAAAAAGCCTGTCTGATTAATTTTATTATTTATCTTCATAAGCACTGTTAATGTACTATTCAAAAGTAAACCTATCAGCTGTTTCTAGGGAAGTTAAAACAATTTATTATATATTCAGAGCAATAGACCTAAGAGATTGTCCTCTGTACTTCCCAGCATTTTTGGTCAGAATCATTTTAGTGAGATAGCAGCAAGTAATGCCAGCTTCAGTAAACTCTCTTGAACTATGTCTCCATCTAGAAGTTTTTGAAATTATGCAACAAGAACAGCTCCTGATTGATATAAGACATAAACTGAAAATAATGGGAAGAGCAGGAACAACACGACTACAAAATCATAAAAAGCCGAAAAGAGCTGCAAGGTTTCAGGGAGGCAGTGTTGCTCCGTGGAATGAATCATACAGTAGTAGAACTGGAAGGGACCTCAAGAAGTCATCAAGTCCAGTGACATGCCCTCACAGCAAGACCAAGCATCTGATAGATGTCTGTCTAATGGTTACTAATGTAATGTCTACTCCAAGCTTTCTCATTGATTTACTCTGTGGCAAGTCACTTAAAAAGTCAGGCTCAAGGTCATCTCTGGTGTAACTCCCCTAAAGTAGATGGAGTTTGTAGCAGGGATTAATGTGGCCCTGGGCAGTGGATTTGCTCACTGGAGAGTATGAATGTTAGCAGTGTTGGCTCTGTTTGACTTCATGAGAAATATTTTTCTAAGCAGAATCACAGTGAAGTTACACATGATGGCACTAGAGCTACCTCTATACTACACTCCATTCTTGGCGGCATGAGTGTACATGTAGCTATACTCCACAGTGAAAAGAACACCACTTTAACACTCTGATGTGTGGCCACGTGTCAGGCTCTGGCAGAGGCAAGGCAGTGGGGCAGCAGCAGGACAGTACTCTGCTAAAAACAGCAAGTATGGAAGGAAAGGCAGAGCTTGGACACTGAGAGCCATGTAGAGTATGTAACTCACTTGCACACCCACTCCCTTCGGATGCATCTTCACAAGGCTGGGCAAAATACAGCCCACAGGCCAGCCAAAGCTTCTGATCCAGCCCACCACAACCCTTTAAACCGCCAATGTCCTGCAGCCCAGCAGGACCCTCGGGTAGGCTCCCTGGCTGTCTTGCCTGACACACCGCTCAAAGCAGGCTGGCTGCTGGAGCCATGTGCATCCCTGCAGTGCACACCCATTGGGGAGAGATCCTTGTGCACTGACCCCAGCCCCACCACAATCCTTACAGCTTCCATTGGCTGGAAACCGGCCAATGGGAGCAATCTGGGCCGTGTTTGCAAGACAGTCAGTGCACAAAGCTGCCCTTCCCCAAGGGGCGCTCGGCATGCACAGAGACATGGCTCCAACAACTGGCTGCTTTGAGCAGCAAGGAGCTGCAGCAGGCATGAAGGCTGCATGAAGGTCCCACTGGGCTGCAGGTCAGGAACTGCCTAGGTAAGTGCCTCCCAGCCAGAGCCTGCACCTGGCACCCTCTGGCACTGCAACTTCCTGCCACAGGTCCCTCCTGTCACAACGCAAACACTTTGAACCCCCTACCCCAGTCACAATCCCCTCCCAGACCCTGCACCTCCTCCTTCCCTCCTCCCCCAGGTCAGAATCCTCTCCTGCACCTACCCCCTCCCAGACACTGCACCGCTTCCTGCACCCCAGTCCCCTCCTCCAGGTCACAACCCCCTCCCAGACCCTACACCCCTCCTCCATCCCAATGCCCTACCCGAGCTCCCTTCTGCACCCAACCTCCATCTCAGACCCCACTCCTCCTCGGTTAATATCATGGAAGAGTGCAGCCCATGACTACTTAGTAAATTCTTGGAGTGCCCCCGCCCCCCATCAAAAATTATTGCTCGCCCCTGGTCTTTACTGTGCTCACCTAAGCCATGCCTCACTGTTTACTCTGCTATTTATTCCCACACTAAAATGTAAATGGGATATACACTACAGGCTGCCAAAAGAAGCATGCAAGGGCAGATGAACCCTTTGTGATGTCAAGCTGTGACAGCAACTGTATGAATTTTAAGATCCAGAGTTCTTAAATATGCCAATGAAATGAAAAGCCTAATCCCACAACCCTTATTCATGCAAGTTCTCCTGCTGACTTCTATCATCTTGTTATGAGGTTGGTAGTTATTATCAGGGCTTGACAAGTGGCGGCGAGCCCTGCTCCCCAGCTGCGCGGTTTGGCATGCTGCGCATGTGCAGACTGTGCTGCGCATGCGCTGATAGTGCTGCGGCATCGTGCCGGGCTAAAATCTACTCACCACGGGCGAATAGATTGCCGTAACTGTCGAGCCCTGGTTACTATTATTATTAACCCCATTTTATAGATGTCTAAAGGGAGACTGAGAACACCAATTTCACCTTGCATAATTTCAGTGGGGATATTCTTATCAATAAGGGTCATTTAGTTTGCCTGGGGAGAAGGCATCATGGCTCTGATATACATCCTTTCTCTTTTAGTATGAATTAAATGTATTACGTGCATTTGTTAAATTAGAAATAAGCTAATCAGTGTGGAAAGCTTTGAGTACCCTGAACATCTAGGTGCATGACAGCCACAGAAAAGCAGGACTGTGAATTGCCAATCGCTTCCTTAGATGTATTTAAAATTGCTATGGGATACTCAGCTAGATCCACAAATGCTGGATCCCTACATTAGCAAAGAGATTCCTGCCAGTACAGGCAGTCCCCGGGTTACGTACAAGATAGGGGCTGTAGGGTTGTTCTTAAGTTGAATTTGTATGTAAGTCGGAACTGGTACATATTGTAGGAGAAACTCTAGCCAAACATTTCTCCAGAGCTCAGTTTTATTCTCCCACACCTCACTTCCCGCAGTCCTTTATTCTCCAGCTGAGGTGTCTGCTGAGAAAAGCCGCTCCGCGTCTCCCTGGTCTGCTGGGGGGATGGGACGCTAGCTTTGCATCTCCCTGGTCTGCTGGGGGGAAGCAGCTAGTGCGGGGTTGCCTTACCCCGTTTGTAAGCAGGGATCCGATGTAAGTCGGATCCATGTAACCCGGGGACTGCCTGTAATGGCAGGCGGGTGATGCTCATATATGAAAAAAGGCACAATGCTTCAGAGCACTATTCATACGGACCAGCTCCAGAAGACTTATCAAAACAGCCTTTCTGCTTCAGCAACTGTACTGAAACCCTGTTCTTGTGTTAATTCATCTCTCCATGCCTTCGAGTGTGTGGGTTTTAACATTATTATACCTCTTTCTATCCTCAGTCATGTTCTCAATCCCTTCTCTAGTACAGCCACGGACACCACTGCTGCATTTGTTTGGTGAGCCCAAGACCTGTCTTTTCCTCCTTTACGGTACAGATGGTACTGGCGGTGAGACAGTGAGATAATACTTAGTCCCGACCTAGCCAGACATTTCTGGGTGAATATTCTGGATGCTGAAAACCCAGCTGGAACATTTATAAGTTACCCAGGGAAGTGAGAGGTTGAGTGGACAGAGAAACCTAAAAAACAGTGAAGGCCAGTATTGGCACTAGTTGCTCTAGAGTTACAACATAGATACTCACAAAGGAAAGTCTCTGCTTGGCCTGGTTTGAGGTTAGGAGACTCTGCACTCTCTTGTGGACCTTTTCCCAGTTGAAATGAGGATTGGAGTATAACCTGCAAAAATGTATCAAGCTAGTCACATCCCAAATTCTCCTCCATCATTAAGTCTTTTTATTTTCTCTGATGGAATCTTATTCATCATGTCCTTTTTCACACACTAACCAGTGTAAGAAAAAGCAAGATAGTTTCAAGAGGTGTTTGGCCCTCTTGAAACACAAAATGTATCACAGTTGTGCCACTGAGAATGTGACTGACTCTTCAGAGGACCCACTTAAGACGGAACTCGGCAATCTTTTGGCTGTCCAATTGCACAACTTAGTGGATATGGATAGCAAAGGCCCCTTGTTCAGTAAAGCATGTGAGAAGTTCCACTGACTTCAACTCACATAGTCCAAGTTAAACACCTATTTAAGCATGGGTGGTGGGTGAACCTTGAGCTGGGAGGCAAACCTCAGCCCCATCTCTTCCACCCAGCACAGGAACCAAGCCTCCCAGACCACAGCACAAGGCTCCAGCTCTCTCCTCCCCCGGCAAGCCACCTCCCACTGCAGGGGTAGGTCTTTATCCTCCTCCCCACCGCGTGAGCCTCCCCAGCCCAGAGCCGTGCAGTCCCAGCTTCTCCAGCCCCGGACTATGGGGACAGCAGGTGGCACATGCTCCCACACTCCCCAGCCCTGGAGCATGGGGAGGCCAGGTGGTGCACAGTCTTAGCCTCAAGGTGGCTGAATCCCAGAGGCAGCCTGGGAGCCATGCTGAAGCAGGAGGCAGAATGTGGGTGGGGCCTCTTGTACCCAATGCCTTCCCCTGCCTCTTGCACCCACCACCCATGGGTTTAAGTGTCTTGCAGATCTAAAGCACGATAGATATTTTCTTCTTTCTTCTCATTCATTCCCTTTCCTGATTCTTTACTCTATCTTCTCTTCTGTCTCTTTATGAACCATTTCCTCTCTCATTTTCATTGTTTCTCTCACACTCAAACAGGCAACAGCTGTTACCTGCAGCTGGTTTCTCACCAACCTGTCCCTTCATGCTATTTTTATTTTATTCTGTCATTTCCTTCCACTTCTAATTCTCTCCATTCATTTCTCACTCATGCACATTTTTTCCCTGCTCACATTTGGTACTTACTGATCATTCCTATTCCTTCACTGGACTTATGTTTCACTTGCCTTTTGCTAACATTTTCTCCTGTCTCCCCATCCCCTGTGTTCCCCACTTCCTACTCTCCCTCACTCTATCCCCATTTCCCTTAAACTTTTCCCATCTCTTCAGATATCTCCTTTTCCCCACCTTTCTGTCCCCTTGCCATTGTCTTTTCTCTTCCACCATCCCTCCTCCCCCACTGCAGAGAGCAAAAAGTCAATAATCCAAAGAAGCCCTCTCCTCCCCTGCTGGCAGGATTCCCTTGCCGGCACAGAGTGCAGTCAATTAACTATAGCATCTTTCAAAGGCTGCATAATACATGGTTCTGCCATGTAACTAAATGCCCAAATTAACATTATTGCTAGAGCCTCCCGGCAATTTGAACATTCACTTTAAATCATGCCTGGTATGTCCTGAAGTGCAGGAGTTCTACTCTCTTGGGCAGGACCAGTGCATTGAGAACAAGTAGGAAATGAATAAGCAAAGTAAAATGTGTAGGATTGTCACCTACTGGTTAGACCAAAAGGGCAAACCCCTGGCTTCTCGCCTGCTCTGTTACTCCCTTACTTTCATGTAAAGCTTGTATATGTCCCAGGTACCCCTTTGGTAAAATGACCTATTGCTGTTTTCCCAACTCACAGAAGAGTTCTGAGGATTAATCAATGTGCTTTAACATTACTGAGAAGTAGTGCAGCTACACACCTGCTTTGACTGTTATAAGCAAAGGTAAGACTGCACCTTTATCCTTTGGGATATAAAGTCCATGAAAAAGGTGAATTTGTTTTCTTAAAGTAAATGAATATGAAAAGCACCACAAAGATTAGTCATATAATCCATAAACGTCAACCACCAAGGAACAACATATTCATTCATCAACAAAGTGCAGCACTGAGCACTATACAAGCAACTATGCTTTGCAAGCCAGAGCTGATCCACAAAGTGCAGAATCAACATATTGTTTGCAGGGCTGCACATAATAACAAAAATAATCCAGTTCTTTAAGTGCAGGCCAAATGATCTCCAATGCCACTCTGATGAATTGTCCCAAGTAAGCCTTGCACTACATCACACCCCAAGCTGCCACTTCATAATTGGACACAAAAATCTCAACTTTGAAACAATGACAAAAAACATCCTTAGGTTTAATGAGTTAAACTGTTAAAAACAATAATAAAAAAGCTGCCTAATTTTCTTGTTTGGTCACAGAGATAACCAATCTTGTTTTGATAAAACTCAGACCTAAACCACACATATACCAGTACCATTCATGCTGCTGCATATAATGAGACAAGTTTTCAAAACACGGCCTCTTCACACAATTATATTTTTGCACATTGGCATTTGCAATTGATTTCCCAATAGAAGCTCTGTCTGTGTGTCTAAAAGGAGCATTAAAATACCTGAATTGGGTTTGATCATATAAATGATATCACTTGATACATCCAAAAGATCATGCACACACAAAAAATCACATGTGCAGGCAATTCGGTGCAGGGCCAGCTCGAGCCATTCCTGCGCCCCGAGCAGCGGGCGCACGATGCATACGCGGCTCCACCCCCGGGCGAGTGGCCCTGCCCTCTGGCGCGCTGCACACCTTGAAGCGTGCAGCACCCCTTACAGCTGCCATCAGGTGCCCCCCATAGGTTGGTGCCCCGGGCAGCTGCCCGGCTAGCCCCCACCTTAATCTGGCCCTGATTGGGTGCACAAAAAAGGACACTTCTAAAACTTGGCCCAACAAGTTCAGCTTACCCTTGTGGCAATAATCAAGTTTCATGTGAGATTTGGACTTTGCTGAGCTGGTGAAAGCGGCCTCCTCCACATAAAAAAATCACACTACTACATCTGTGAAATAAGAGCTTTCATTTTTCTAAGTCCCCTCCCAACCTGGCTGCCCTAGAGGTATCAATGATTTTTAGTTAAATATTTAGGCAGTTGTGTGCCAAGAGAAGGCAGGTTGGGGGACTTGAGCACAGAACTAGTCATACCAGAAAATTACTGGAGCAGCAAAAAGAAAGGAAAGCTCTTTTCAAAAGAAATAGCAGGATGATTTATTAATCAGAAAACACCACTGCTACTTTAGTACCTGTTGGGTTGTAGAAGTAAAGAAGCTTGGATACTTAATTTTTTGAACTTCAGGCATCTATGAAAGCTCAGCCCTAGTCAGTTTTTTATAATAGTTAAAACTGAGCACCTAGACACAATCCTTTGCAACACAATTTGTCATATCTACATAGACAAAAATATTAGAGGATCCCTGTTACAGCACTGTGTTTTTCAGTAGTTGATGATCTTTTGACAATAAACAGCTTATTTTCACATGGCATACAATGAAGAGGAATGTAGCCAAACTAAGCTATTCTAAGTTTGAGATTAGTCAGTGCTTCCTTTTCACACAGAAGCACCCATTTTTCCATCCGCTACACAGACCTATAAATGGAAATAGTGTTCTATCTTTCTGGATTCTTCAGCCAACATACTAGTAAACCGAACACTATCTTTCTGGATTCTTCAGCCAACATACTACATGGAACCCAGCATTAGAGAATTAGAAGCAAACTGGATAAAGGATACTCCATAACAATCCATTCCTGCCAAAGACCTTGATCCAGTAAAGGACTTAAGCATCACTTAACTATAAGCATACACTGATTTTAATGTAGCAAAACTACTCAGCTCACATGCCTAAAGTTAACTACACCTGTAAGTGCTTTGCTGGATTGATGCCTAACAGAAAAATGATTTAACAGTTATTTTGACTGATCTCCAAAATGCTCTGTGTATGGAGGAGTCAGAGGGAAGGGAGGAAGGTGGTGGTAGTTAATGTTCTGAGAAACCAAGCCGAGACACAACTGTTCCTTAGATTTTAAGACCTTGGGTTAGGGACTGTCTTCTTATTCTATCTTTGCACAGCACTTAGCACACTAGGCTTCTGGCTCTATACAAATAAACAAACAATAATATATACCATTTTCCCCATTCTCTTAAGTCTCCCACATGCTCTCTAATGTGTAGAGCTTTTTCCATTTCTTCTGCAAAACATACTGACCCTGGTGGCAGCCTCTCCCTAGGCAACATGTGGTTGCCAACAAACTGTTCTAACCTCTCCCCTGCACTTTCTGCAATGCAGGAACAATGGACACCAGAGAAATTATTCTTCTCGTACTTTTGGCAACTAATTTCCCCACTCAGCCAAGACAATCAATAACCCTGAACATATTTCAGGGTGACAGGCAGACTGACTTCAGCAATATCAGCCTTCACTTGTTACTGACAGGTGAAAGTAAGACTCAGGCTCTAGTTATAGATAGATACATTAAAGGAAGACTGAAAACACTGGGACTCTTCAGTTTTAAAAGTCAAGTATCTTGGGACATGATAGAGGTATAAAAACTAATGAATGATACAGAGTAGATAAACTCTGCTACTCTTTCTCACAGTATAAAAACAAGGTGGACAGTCAGGGAAGCTTAAAGGCAACAAATTTAAAGCTGATGAGAGGGAATACATTCATTGTCTGTTTTTCACACAATGCGCCCGTTGTGTGTGCAACTAATTGCTACAAGATATTATTGGGGCCAAGAGCATATTTGTATGGCTAATAAGAACATTCAGTTACATCAGGTATGACTAAGAGGCGTTTACAGTATATAAACCTCACATTCCCAAGCATATGCCATTAACCATTAATTGACTGAGGATACCAAGAAACTTCTGTTAATGTATTTTCCCCCAATTGTTAGAACAGAGTTTCTTGTACCTTTTTCTCAAGCATCAGGTATTAGCCACTGTCAAAGACAGGGTATAGTACTGGACTAGAAGAACCACTGGTTTCCTGGTGTATTGCTATTCCTATGTTCCCATATATGTCCTCACAGCTCTGTAGCTTTCAGTATTCACTCTGTGAGTACTGTCAAAATGATCCATAGAAACATATCTGAGAGTTGCTTGAATGTGAATGTTTTTGGTCATTCAACATCACTGCTCCTACTTACAGCACCATGTCACTCAAGTTATAGATTTTTATTCAGCATTAATAACCTGTGCTGCAAAGAAGAGTGACTCCGAACAGGACTAGGTGATCTGTAACATGGGGAGGTGGCAAATGATGCGGTGCGGTGAAAAGTTAAATCCCCCTGAGTGGGAGAACTGAACAAGTTATTGTACTGTACTAGTTCATCCGTTTCAAGAGATGATGAATCATGGTCAGATGTGGTCTGTTCCTCTGGTTCCCTGGTAACCTGTGGAGCAAGGAAACATTTTTCTTTAGCGAGAAAGGACACAGGGAGGAGGAGAACAGGAGAAAGAGAGAGAGAGAGAGGAAGGGAAGAGAGGAAACAGTGACAATCTGCAGTATTTGGTGGCAATGAAGAGAGTGGGGAAGACTGACATTGAAAACTCATATCTATTAAAACACCATTGTGTGTATGAACAAACCCCAGCTCCAGGCAGGTAAATGGGAACACTTTGAAAATCTGGATCAAACAGAAGCTCTTAGAAAATGTGTTTCACAGCTAATAATAATAATCAGAATCTAACACACTGATAGACAGCTAATCATAATTCACCCACAAAAGCTCATACAAGTCAATATTTCAGCAAGTGTATTTGTGAAAGTGTAATATAAACTAGGAACAGATAAGCATGCTGTTTCTACTGTCATGCTCTAAATCTAAATTGTGCTGTATAAGAATACAACTCCTTCTGGCAAAGATGACTTTTGGTGTTGCAAGGGATTAAGCAGAAAAACAACACAAAGAAGGGCAGTGAAAATACCCATAAAAAACCTGCACCTGCCAGTTGGAGGTTTGCCAGTTGGGAGCTTTTTGGAATATCAACTTCAAGGTGCTTGTGATAGGACAACAAAGAGGTCCGTGTATGAAGCTTATAATTAAACACAAGGCCAGACCTTCTGCAACTATTTCACTCCAAGCAAACAACTCAATTCTCTCAGTCCCTGAAGCAGTCTGACTCTGGATATTGCTATTCAGTTCTCTGGCTAGAACCCAAAAGAAATTGTGTGGAATCCAAACCTGTTGCAGTGTGGCATGTCAGATTCTGTCCCACTTATATCCACCCAACCCACCTTGATGGAGTTAAGGGCATTGCTGAGTAGTAAAGAGAGCAGAATTTGGCACGCTTTCTCTAGAAGAGCCCCAAATATCTCATCTGATTGTTTGCCGCAAGAATGTACTTGTAAGACACTTTCCCATTTATCCTCTAAACACTCAGGCTATGTCTACACTGCAGGCTTTTTGCGCAAGAACAGCCATTCTTGCACAAAAACTTGCAGAGCGTCTACACTGCACGTGTGTTCTTGCACAAGTAAATTTACAGTAAAGCATCAGAAAAGAGGGCTTCTTGCGCAAGCGTTATTCCTCTCCCCACAAGGAATAAGCCATCTTGCGCAAGAGCTCTTGCGCAATAAGGCAGTGTAGCCAGGCAACAGGGGTTTCTTGCGCAAGAAACCCCAATGGCTAAAATGGCCGTTAGAGCTTTCTTGCGCAAGAGAGCAATCACACCACCATGGACGCTCTTGCATAAAAACACATCTCTTGTGCAAAAGCACATGGCAGTGTGGACGCGCTCTTGGGCAAGAACTTTTGCACAAAACAGTTCTTGCGCAAAAAGCCTGAAGTGTAGATGTAGCCTCAGTGTGGCAACAGCGTAACACATGTCAATGTGCTCACTCATCAGATATTCTGCTATGGAGAAAGACTGAGGGGCACTATAAAAGGGCAAGATTTTCGCTCCACTAGTAATGCAGCAAAACAGAATTTGGTCCAGACTTACCCCATTGCTGGCGTTTGCATTTATTCTCAACTAATGCAAGGGCTGAGACAAATCTTAGTCAGAGCTTTTCCTGAGCAGCCCCTGAGTCTCAAGATCCTCCCTAATAGCTCTGGTCAACTCATGTGACTCTCTCTTTGGCTCAGGGAACTCTCAACCTTTTACATTCATGAGGTCAAGCTAATGAGCTCTTCCTAGCCTACCTATCAGGGCGAGTCAGCTCAGTTGCTTCGCTCCTCTGCACATGGGCCTGCGTGCTGACATCCGGTCATAAGTGCTGTTGGATAAGCTAGTCTCTGATCACAGTCTTTTTTATTCCATGGGTGGATGAGAGTGCCAGGGACTAACACTGACAGCACTATCTTGATTAAGCCAGGAGCAACTTTTCATAAGGCATCTCAGTCCAAAGTATCAACATCTGTTTTTACCCCATACCTCTCTTTTTTTTAGTCAACACTTCTGATTGGGTAAGACAGGCTGGTATTTTTGTTTCATGGGCATTTGGGAACCAAGGTGCAAACAGCAAACTCATTTTCACTAGTAATCTAAAGCAGGATTTAAAGCAATGTCTCCAGAAATGAAGGACACATACAACTAATCCCCGGGACGCCTCCTCAACCCTCTCTCCTCTTAGTACAAGAGGCAAAATCTCTAAGTTAGCCAGAACACAGCGAGAGAATAAGAGTGCAGTACACCAGTACAATGATCTGTGGCATAATTATCCAATAGCTAAAATAATTACATTTACATCAGCCACTTGGGACAAGAGAAATAAAGTCCTTATTACAGAACAACGTCATAGGATCTGCATCTCCTTTTCTGGAAATAAGTGATTCACCTGTGCTTCAATATTCATGCAATAGCAGCAGATCATTATCCTTTGATGATATTCCCTTCCAATCATATTCTCTATCAATTATTCTATAAGAACAGTGGGTTAGGAATTTTGCAGAATCTTAACATTCAGCTGTATCACTATCTACAAGGGAGCAAGGTGGTGATGACCGATTCTTTGATCTAAGAAGTTATATATCATGAGTGAGAAGGTTGGTACTTAGGGAGAAAAATAACCAGGATTCATTAACAGTGGTAGTAGGACAGGTTTTGAAAATTTGCTGTGATTTCCTTGACAGAAATCCATAGATATTTTTTGAAATCTACACTTTATTCATATCATATATAATTTTTCAAGAGCCATTTTATTTAGAGAAGAGTAAAAAGTGAACACTGGGGGCCCTTTTTGACTCCTAATCTAGAAGGGTATGTCTACACTGCAAAGTTAATTCGAAATAGCAGTTATTTCAAATTAACTTCAATAGCGTCTATACATGCAAACTGCTATTTCAAATGTAATTCGAAATAGCGGAGTGCTTAATTCAAATTTAGTAAACCTTGTTCTACGAGAAGTAACGCCAAATTCGAAATAGCTAATTCGAAACAAGTGCTGTGTAGACACTTAAATCAAATAGCTGGCCTCCAGCCCTTCCCAGTTTCCCCTGGTGGCCACTCTGGGCCAAACCAGGAAAACTCTTCTCCTCTCCCTAAGGAGCCCTTAAAGGGGTAGAGTCTGGCCACACACCATGTGCCAGAGCCAGGCCTGCCAGCAGCCGCAGCCCCTCACCCAGTGGCCACACAATGCCATCCAGTGGCAGCCAGCCATCCTCCGCCCAGTCCCTGGGCCGCAAGAGGTGGGCGCCTGCCTGGTCTAGTGCAGAGATCGTGGACCTCATCAAGGTATGGGGGGAGTCCTCCAACGCCCATGACCTCCGCACTAGGCAGAGGAACGCGGTCGTCTATGGCTGCATAGCGGCAAGCATGGCCAGAAAGGGCCACAGGCATACCCAGAAGCAGGTGCGCCTCAAAGTAAAGGAGCTGCGGCAGGCGTACACCAGGGCCACCAGGGGCGGCGCTGCAGCAAGGGCTGACACCTGCCCCTACTTCCCCGCCCTTGACTGCATCCTGGGGGGCCGGACGGTCTGTGC